GATGCTCATGTTGCTCTGATCAGCACGTAGCCTGATTCTCAAGGCACCCCATGAGTCCAAAATGCCCACTAGACCTTGTGCAACACGGTCGCCACTGTGGCGGGAGTACGGTTGGCACCCCAGAACATACGCAGAACTGTGGCGGGAGCATGGAGAAAAAACAAAGTCAAAAAACATGTATTGCGGTAGGTGTTGTATGTGTGTATGTATGTATGTACATATATGTGTACATATGCATGCCAGTATATAGGTATGGGCAGGTAGGTAGGAGGCAGGTACGTAGGAGGTAGGCATATTTATGCATCTTTGTCTGCGTGTTTAAACACGTTCAGGTATTCCTACTCTTGTTTGTTTTCGGCCTCGGGTTGTAGTGTGTTGCTTGGGGCTTTATTTGTGTATCCATCACTGCTCTTGCAAACCCCAGCACCAGTGTTTCTGAATACTGTTGGCAATAGCTAGGATTTATAAATTGAAGAATTGAAGAGCTTGTTTGCGCGAACCTTACAAACCCTCCCCACAACTCCATGTTAATTTCTGGGGCCTTGATAGTTCGAACAGGGTTTTCGGAGTCCACGCCCTCTAGAATTATAGCTAGCATTCAGAAGTCCATCCTTCAAAAACCTGAAACCTACATCTTCCAGGCCCCTCCGAACCGAAAACATGTCGAGATGGGGTGCAGGTTTCCTACAGATATAAATATGCCGAGCTTGACCCAAAAATTAGAATCGTACTAGCATACACATCCCCGATCTAGGACCCAAGTCCCCATCCAAATTGCGACAATCCTGTAATACGACACACAACCACAAACTTCCCGGGCTCGGGTCGAAACCCCCTAACATCCCACCCTGCTAAGACTAAAACCCCTAAGGCCCTCAACCCTCTAGCCATAAATTTAAACCCCAAACCTGATTGCAAGGTTCGGGCCCCAGCCTGCACAGCCGCTGCTCGTGGCTTATAGTTTAATTTTAGGGTTATATAATTTATAGTTTATTTATTATATGTATACAGGAATTTGGTGTAACTAGGGTGTATCTAGGTGAGATGTATTACAATGGTAGCCTCGGGGCATAATTTATAATGACTCGGGATTATTGTTATTAGGCAAGAGCTATACACAGGGTGAACAAGTTCATAGATTTATTAGGGGTCGAGGGCTTTACAGAGGGCTTATATTAGGGTTTGGCCACGCGAAGCAGCCTTGGTTTAAGTGTAGGGTGAGTGGTTCCAAAATTTTGGGTCATACGATGAATTCTGCAAGCCACAGTACACGAGGTGTTGATTGAAATAATGTTCACTAATGTCGGGAGTTTGTTTAGGTTTAAACTATGATCTCCGACGCTTATTTTTGAGGCTACGATTCCTCAAGCTGGTACCCTAATAGACTAATCAAGAAGTTGGGTTGGGGGAGGGCGGTTCGAAATGTTGGGCTATAGGTAGGATAGAGTTTATATCGGGCTTGGGTCATACCTACTTTGAGGGAACATGGTGGTCAGGCAAATCACCCGTCTAGTGTTGCGACCAATTTTTGCTTCGCTTTCACGATGCTCATGAGAGTCGTGCACATGCAAAGCCCCAAGCAAGAATGTCGACGGTGCTGTTGCTTGACAACTGCTCTAACTCTTACGGGCCTCGAATTTTTGTTTGGTCATGATAGCTTTCAGTCGCATGTGCGACTTGACCAAAACAGCTTCCTCCAAACTAGCGGGATGCGAAGCCTGCGCCACATCGACTGCAACACCAATCGACCCTTCTTCACAGTAGGTGTGAAAGAACCGAAAGTTGTATCCTCAGCTATCTCACGATCGATAACACTGGCCAACTGTGTTGATGGCTACTCATGTAACATGCCTACAAGTACTCTGATTCCACTGCCAGCAAGAGGCTGCAAGCCACGACATCCGCCAGCATGTGTTGAAGAATCTAGGTTGGTTCATCGCCATGCAATTCACCAAAGCTCGTTCTTTATTCGGGGGCGACGAGGTCTTTATAAAGAAATTACAGCTTCGACCACAAGTTGAAAACAACCGTGAAAAGTCCATATTATATGTAACTATGATGGAACCGAACCAGACTTTCAATCCTCCGTGTATTGCTGAAGCTTGAAAACTTGTCCATTATTTAATGTTATCAATCCCCAACGGCCAAGCAGCGTGGTGCTTCGGTTTGATGCTCCATTGGCTGCTGAGCTGTGGAAGGCTATCTTTAAGTTTTGGGAATTACGGGAAGTTACGGGAGAAAAAATGGGCCCGAAGCATGTTTGGCTTCAGAACCAATTATGCTGCTGCAAAAGGTCGGGGTAACGGCAGCAGATCGAGAAGCCAGAATCGCATAAGCCTTGAGGTATTCCAAGCCATGTAGCTCAATCTCCTTTGAAGCCTCAGTCCACACACGGTTTGCGAAGTGTGCACATACACGTTTTCGGGTTTACTTACAATGAGCAAATGGGTTCGGAAGAAAATTTCAATCTCGTGGTGGTTAAAATCACATCCAGAAACACTTTCGCTCACATAGCGTCCTTCACATTCCACCGCATTGTACAGCTCGCCCAAACGGTAAACACACGTGGCCACCATGGCCAGGTGCGAATCGTCCGGTCGCTGCCTGCTTCTCGTCGAAAGAAAAGCTGCTAAAAAAGATGTAAGAATTCTCGAATGCCATGCTTTCGAATGATACCACGTTTGCCCCTTGTCATTCTCGTGCAAACAGTAGGAGCGAAATGCAGGGATCGACACCGAAACCCGGTTTGATCGGCGCCATTCCTTGAACTCTTTCCACAGAACAGCAAGCTGATTGTCCCGTGTACCATTTCCGAGGTGGCCTGTCTCCATGAGGTAAACCATTGCCGATCCGTTTGTAAACAAGCCCACACCAAGGTGGGCTACATGCATAAAGCATGCTTTAAGTTGTGAAACGTGAAAATCTGGCATCAAGACGAGTGGGTTCAGAAGGGGGTCGTCCAGATTTGGCAGGCACGTTCTGATAAACTCAGCATTGGTCCGTTCGGTCGCAACCCATCCAGCCTGGTGCCCAAACTGCCCGAAATCCATTGGTCCAGCCTTCTGTGTGGCGCAACAGCGGTGGCAGGTGTTCCGTGAATTGTAGAACGAGGATAGGTTTAGTATCTCTCTTTGATACTTCCAGTCCCCTCTCAGCTCTGTGACCGCGAAAGTGGTATTCAGCAGAGCCTGTTGAGCCTTCGTCCAACACAGCCGTTTGCCACTGAAAAAATCTGTAGGGGGCAGCTGCCCTTGCCCAACCAACGAAGGCTCCAGCAGATGTAATCCCACAATGGGAGATATGTTTTGCTGCCCAGAGACAAGCCTTCCCTCAAAAAGAAAAGCGGAATTCGTGTTTGAGACAATGTTTGTCGATCGGTCAAGACGAACCCTAGACTTCCGAGTTTTAAATTACCGAATGTTACATATATAGGTATACACCTAGGGCATGACCGAACACGTACCTATATGCAAACCGTACATACATTACAGCGTGTATACATGACAACTGCACAGAAACATCGACAACACTGGAACAAGTGTGCTATTGCCAAGCAAGCATCCTCTGTAGACCCCAAGCATTTTGTCGGCATAATCAGTATACTGAGCCTCGTCCCCGTACACAAACAAAGGTTGAGACCTGTTTGCGGCAGCGGGTCCCGTGGCCCACGATGTCCCAGAAAGCCACTCCCAATACTTGTTGGCATCCGCAGCTGTAGGGGCCAACTCATTTTGCAGCAGCATCAGCACGACATCATGTGGAGCGACACAAGGCACCTTCCTTCGGTACAGATTGTATCAGAAAGAAATCCCCCAACACGAACATCGTTTAGTTTTTGAGTTCAGGGCTCAGGGCACTCGCTATTGCATCCGGGACACATAGGTTTCTCGCCATTGGTCTCGCATTTGACCACTGTCTCCACCCATTGAATTGGAACCTGAGTCGGAACAGTTAAACCATGAAATTGTAATGTAAACTATGGGTGCACATACTATATGCTGCTCCGTTGAATCAATCGAGTCATGATACCTGCAGCGGCACTCTTCGAAATATGTCACGTTGTATGTTGCTGGGGTGTTTCCCACCGCCACCAGCCTCCGCCAAGGCTCGCAAATGACAGGGAGTTCGATCTCCGAAAACCTCAGCATAGACACCAAACCGACAAGTTAAATGTTTGAACCAACTGAAGTTTGCATAGTTTGCATAGCATGCAAGCCACTGTGAGCACACTCGAGGCGAGCTCTTGCACTCCAGTCATCGATAGGTCCTGAAATTCACAATCAGAACTGGGTTGTTCATACGTACACACTTCGTTATATTATTTCAAGGCAAGGTACCCCAGAGCCAGCTTTATCGAGAAGTGTTGCCGATATCAAATCCATCTGACCTGCGCGGGGCGATGTTTGAGCATATTTAGCCTAACCACTGATATGATGATCATGACAGCACATTCGGAATCGAGGCATGAAAGCTTACTAGTTTTCCGCAACCAGCACAGCCGAACGATGCTCTCATACAAGCCACCTGACCACACCGACGAGTGTGCAGCATTGGCACATGCCCAAACACTTTTGATGATGCATCGGAGCCCTCATACAGCCTACCGTTGGAAACTGCACCCTGGCTTATAAGTTTATGCGAGCAACAAGTCAATTGAAATACACTGCAGTTGAACAGAGCTCCGACTGCACAGCGACATCATGCGCTCTATAATGACCAACACTCTGGTGTCTACCTATGTGGCCCACAGTTCACCGTTCGTTTTGAAATCGCACTGCAGCCCCAGTGATCGCACTGTTGCAATCAGAGCATGTACAAACACATTGTCATTGCCACCTTAGCTGGCGAAATCTTGAACATCTTAGACCTGAGTGGCTTTGCCCTTGCCCTTTGCTTTGGGCTGACTCTTTGGCTTGGCGTGCACCTTAATGTGAACCGTGGCTGAGTCGTAACTTTCCATCATTTTTTTGATGATCGAAAGATGGTGCTCGTAGGAGTCCTCCTGTTCATCTGCCCAGACCTGCTGAGCCTCGTTGTAGGCTTTCTGCATCTGAGCAACCACAGGCTGCAGGCTTTTCAGCAGCGATTTCTGCAACTCATCTGGCCTGCCAGGAAGAGCAAAGGCACGACTAAAAATCCAAGGTCTGTAGACATGATACATATGAATACATGACAACAAACTACAAATAAAGTGCGAGCTGGTTGCACTTTATTCGTGGCCAGCTTTTTCACCCATCCTTTGGATTCCGTCAGCTTGTTCGATGCTTTCGTAATCCATGACTTCAGGTCTTGTCCCTGTGTCCGTTCCTTCTTGGGCGGCTTCGGATCGTCACGATTGTTCTCACCTCTCCTCGAATTCACAGGCGGATCCTCGCCTGTGCTTTCATCTTCCAGCAGCTTCAGGGTTGCCCTGAGATTCACAGTACTTTAAATTTGCAGTGTGACAACAACTTGAACACTACATGCACATAGAATACCCGGTACCTGCAGCCGAATCTCAAAAGGCTCTTGGTAGCTTCGCACTCCAGCCGACAATCCATCTTAAACTCAAACGATGTCTCCTCCTTCTCGAGCCTTTCCTCGTCCCGAGCCACCCACACTCGCATCAGATCCATCTCCTGCGTACAGAAAGGTTTAACTTATCATACAATCATGCAATCCAGAATTCGTGCGAAACTCTGTGCGGCCATGGCTCTTCCCTGTTAGGGAAATCCGGGTGCTTCATGAAGTGGGCCTTCCCCAATGTTTTCTTGACTGCACGGAGTTCTTTGGCTTCGGCCTCACCGTGCCTCGAAAAATCGGTATACAAACGGTAACGGGAGACAACAAACATGTAATTGCGCCATCAGAATTATAATTGCATCCCAGGCCGCTCGTCGGCAATTGCCTTCCACGTACGCCAAGCGAAACGCCCTATGACGGAGTTTGCAACGGTGCTGCGGTGGGTCAGGATCAGGCTCGAACGAAGCCAGTTCCCCTGACATGTCGAAAAGACTTCGAAAAGCTCTCGCATGATTTTGCGGGAACCTTAGCTGAATCGCACCATGAACCGATCATGGTTTAATTAGATGAGCATGATTGCACTTGCAAGCTTGCACACGCACGCCAACCCCTCCACCCGCACTTGCAATCCAACCCCTCCCCAACACGAGCACACACCCACCCACCCACCCACC